CGAGCCCCCCCCCCCCGCAAAAAAAATAATAAATAAATAATAATAATAATAATAATAATAATAATAATAATAATAATAATACAAAAGAGCCCATTATTCACATTCGCAATGCACAATGCACTCACACTGGATTCTCTCTCTGTATGCCCTCCCCCCACAAACATACATAAACGAGAACACACACACACACACACACACAAACAACATGAAGCTTTATGAATGTGGTATGCCACGGCAGGCTTTGTAGGTAAATTAAAGACATGGCTTTAGTTTAAGAGGCGCTGTAGGCAGCGAACGTCTGATGCAGGTAAAGAAATATTGTGTGCTTGCCATCCCAAATCTTGACACGTCTGATTAGGTACTGTCAGGTTTATTTGCATTCACTTCGTTTCACTACGAGGTTTCTCGCCTGCACCGTGACTGCCATGGCAAATGTTTTGACACTTTCACGGCAATCACTACTGACCTCCAATCCTTCAAATCATTTCTTAAAACTAACCTGTTCCGCAATGCTTTTAACATGTTTTAATCTCTTTTACCCATTTTAGCTTTGTTTCCTTTTAAAAATGTGTTTATTTTAAAACGTGTATATTTTATTTTAACGTGTACAATTTTACCACGTGTTGTAAATTATTGTCAAGTGTCTGAGTACTATGAAAAGCATTGTCAAATAGAATGTATTATTATAATAATAATAATAATAACTTGTCCTCGTTGGCCTCAAATCGTGGTCGCCAGGAACATATTGTAAATGTAGCCGTAACGACAGCAAAAGATGATTAAATGTGGTCTAAAAACAGTCAGCCTTGGCCAACTAAACAGTGCATTATACAATATTTGCATTATTGATGCTTTATTGATTAATTCTGTTTTGCAACTGTCTATTGTTGACACTTGTGCAGTCGTATCAGTGTAAACACAGCCATATTGGTTATGTGTCGCTTGAAATGCACATGGTTAAAAAATAGGATTTTGTGGACTAAATCGGCAGTTGGACCCACATTGTAAAGCCAGCCTAAATGTTTTAAGCACACACCTGTGTACAGGTGTGAACATACTGCAGATGAATCTTACATTACACATTCTCAGAACAGCATGAAATGTTAAAGCTGTGTAAAATGTCAGAGCACCTTCAAAACTCTGTAATAATTGCTGCTAGAGTCCCATGACTAGAACTTTGTCCAAACCACATGTCCTATGTCTGAAGCATGTGAAAGGACAAGAAAGCCATGACCTTTGACCTCACATAGACTGTTGATACTCCCCAGAGCCAGAGGGGGAAACCGAAGGATGTTTACAAAAAGGTTTCTTTACCCTGCAGTAGTCGTCAATGAAACGCAGTCGCTTCATAGCCACGTCTCGCACATGACTCCTTCGGAAGAGGATTTTGCCTGCATGAGAGCAAAGGGAGCAAAATCACGGCAGATCAGGAGACAGTTGGCATTTTAACCAAGGAAAGATAAAGGTTTAGACAAATGATCAACCACTTAGCCCAAAAAAATTGAGCAAATTAAATCAGGTTTGGCTGAGAGGATGTTTTGAAGTGCATGTAAAACTCCGGCCCCCCAGGAGATGTCAGCAAGGTTTGGTTCTGGGCCCATATGGTCACAACAATATTTACTCCCACGTGAATGCAAAATGAAGTTAAACAATTGCCTGTACAGTTCATCAAGGTTTTATGATGGCAGCAGTTTGGGCTTTGGAACACTTTATTCCAAACACCATATAATTTATCTAACTCATGTCATGGAAGAGATTATGATCACATTTCTACCACTGTATTTGCTGCCATGACTGAGTTTAAGTCAACACTGTCGCCGAGTCTTGACTGCAGGCTTTAAACAGAGTGTTTACCAAAACACACAGGAACCATAATTTTAATTCCCTAAGAGTTAAAGAAATCAACATGATAAACTTACGGTAGTACGCAGAGATGCACCCAACGCAATACATCAGTGTAATAAGCAGAGCCGGTGAAATGCCCTCGACAACTAAACCACCACAAGCGCAATATTGATCACTGCCACTCTCCTGTGGGTTGGCATGAGCCTGAATGTCGGGCGGCGACTTACAAGAGAGGAGACAAGCATGTGCGGCGTGCCTTGGATCAATGCAAGGAAGTGTACACAGACACACAAATCCATGCGATTAAATGACCCATGCATGCATAACCAGACGCTCGGTAAGCGAGCCTCAAAAAGATGAATATGGCAGAGCGACAAAATCACTCGAGATGAGAAAGTCATGGGCAGCATCCTGTCAGCAGTGATTCGAACCTACACATGTGCAGATCAAACAAGCATCGGTACGGGCTCATATTGACGCATTGCGCATGCATTATTAATATGGGAGTCTGTTCAGAGAGCAGGCTATTACCTGGCAGAAATGGAATAATCCTCTTCTTTGGATCTTTTTGTCCACCCTCAATTGGAAACTTGTCAAGTAGTTGCATCTGTGAAGAAGAAACCAAAAGAGACATTTTCGCAGGGGTCTATGGCAGAAGATCAAGTCCTGGAAAAGATGAATTAAGTTTAGCATAAACCAGTGCAAACTTCACCTACATGCAGTGTTATTGCATGAAGGATTATGACCATTGATCATAAAATAACCGGAATGAGAGGAATATCCTATTCCAAATACATCTACGAAAGCAAGCTGACAACTCAAGGGAGCAATGTCATGATTCCTCATGATTCCCCAGTAATGGTTCTTCATTTTGGTAGCGTATTTTTAAAATGTAGCTTTTATACATAAAAGAAAAAAAAATGTATGGTTTTTTTTTTTTTTTTTCAGAGATGACCTTGACAAAAGATGTCGATTTTAATCAACCGTGGAACATACACATATTCATTTGAACGGCACATGTCTGTGTTCTTCCACACAATTAGAGCAGCATTGGCAAAAAGGAAAAGTAACAGATGTTTGTGGGAGTTAAACAAGCTGTCATTTAATCAAAATGCTCAGCGACACGAACGTACTGAGAGAAGTGCTGACGCTGAAGTTGGAGGTGCAGTGAGAAAGAATGGCGAATGATGAGTGACAAAAAAAAAAAAAGATGCCGCAGAGGTCAGTGGATGCAAATGAGTGAGTCAGGCCTTATTGTGTTTACACAGTTTGACCGCTTCGATAAATCATTTAAAGGAGACATGATTAGCATCCATCCATCCACTTTTCCGATCCGCTTATCCTCACAAGGGGTGCAGGGGGGGTGCTGGAGCCTATCCCAGCCGTATCCGGGCAGTAGGCGGGGGACACCCTGAACTGGTTGTCGGCCAATCGCAGGGCACACACAGACAAAGAACCATCCACGCTCACACTCACACACCACAATTTAGAGTGTTCAATAAGCCTGCCATGCATGTTTTTGGAAACATTTTGGAAAGCGGAGTACCCGGAGAAAACCCACGCAGGCACGGGGAGAACATGCAAACTCCACACAGGGAGGCCGGAGTTGGAATTGAATCCGGTGCCTCTGCACTGTGAGGTCAATGCGCTAACCACTGGACCACCGACATGATTAGCAACCCCCCCACCCCCCCAAAAAAACAGCAACACAGAGGGTAAATAATGTGTATAATTAAATTTAAAAAAAAACACGAAATAAATGGATGTGCTCTGTACATGTTTGTGTGAAAATCACGTTTTTTATAGCATTTGATAGTTTGAACCAGGCTGGACATCCCTCCATACATTATACGAGCTGCTCATCCTCACGAGGGTCCGCGGGGGTGCTGGAGCCTTTCCCAGCTCTTTTTCGGGCACTAGGCAGGATAGACCCTGAACTGGTTGCCAGCCAATGGGCATTATACACACAGGAACAAAATAAAAATATTCACGCTCACACCAAGGGTCAATTTCGAGTATTTCATTAACCTGCCATGCATGTTTTTGAAACGTGTGAGGAAACCGGAGTACCCGGAGAAAACCCACGCAGGCACGGGGAGAACATGAAAATTACACACAGGAAGGCCAGCGCTGGAATCTGCACTGCGAGGCAAACATGCTAACCAGTCCCCACCATACCCCCCCTACTCATTGCATTATCATAATGCATTATCATAATACACTGAGTACACGCCTTTTTTAAAAAGGTGTTTGGTTTATCGTTAAATTGAAGAGTTTCTTTGACGTTTTCATTGTTGTGTTGACTTCTTATTTATGATTAAGTACTATAAGTTAAAATAAAATTACTGTATTTTCATTCAGACTTTTTTCTCCGGGTCCTTATTTTCAATTGTTAAAAAAAAAAAAAAAAAAAAAATCTATATGTATGGATATCGACCAATATGAAATATTGTTTCATGGTACCTTTATTGTCTCATGGTACCAAAGGTACCATGAGACAATAGATCATTGACACTAATGAATAGGCCTCAACAAATAAATTACTAAACGAGCTGCTAATTTGAATCATCTCCAGCATGTATCGTATAGTTTTGATGGGAATGCTGGTAGGCAGGTGTTTTGATTTTCTCTGTCATGTATTGATTACCCCCTCACTCCTCATAAGGCTTGACAGGTCAGCTTTTGGCCCACATCAGCTCCTATCAAATGAATATTTTTAATCAACCTCTTATTTTGACGAAGCCACATTTGACACACCACCTCCTCCTTTCCTCTCTTACTTGAAATCTTCAACGAATTATTCAAAACAGTCTTGGCCAGCAAGTTCAAGCTTGTCCTCTATACAGTATCTCGTCACAGTCGACAGATTTCTGCATCCAGCCAGGCATCATGTGGATCATAGAAAAGAACAGGTGGGCCTACTTGATCAGGTGACAAACTACTAGGACAGCCTTTCGACATGCTCAACCACAAAGTTTTTCCTGAACAGCAAACACACCATGAATATTCTATAAACAAAAGCATTACTACAGATGGTGATTAACTTTGTTTTATCCCCATCAGCAATCCAAAATTTGAGAAAAAAAAAAGACACTCTTGCCAAATGGTTGCTCTAGTTCTAAAAACCTAACTTCACTGTCTCCTTGGTAACCAGCCCAGTGAGGATGTGAGAAAGAGTTGCGAAGCCATGTGATTGGACGATCCTGCAGAGCTCTGGACCACTGATATAAATGTTGTGAGTCAGGCCGTTAAAAAAAAAGAAAAATAAAAGAGAAAAGAAAGACAACAACAAACAAGAGGAATAAGAATTATCTCCTTTCAGTGAGACAACATGTTATCTGGCGCAATTTCATGTGTTGCTGTTTGTTTAATACATGTATGTGTGCGTTCGCTGATAATCTCTCAGTCATTAAGATTCAAATGCTGGAATGATCAAATCAAAAACAAAAGAGCAGTTTTAATTGGTCTCAACACGAATGCTATGTATCACAATGAGCTTTTATTTTGACTGCGTTGAAGGGGGCTGACACTTAATGCCTGTGGGAGGAGGCTACATTAAACTAGCAGACCGCATATTTGGTTTCACAACACTTTGGCAATCATCATCTAAAAAGTAAACATTTGTCATCAAAACATGCCTCTCACAATTATCAAAACGAACACCATTCCAACACATTCATCCGATGAAACTATCGTAGTGCTTTATATGATGTAATTAATAGTGAACTCAAAATGTAGCATATATGAAGTAAACAGCATGATTTGGAGTGAAATTCAACCGTATAGACCTGAGCACAAGTACTGGACTCTTTTCAGAGCGAGACAAACAGCAGCTCCTTGTTCATCCCATGCACATGCGCTAAGAATAGAGCGGCCATATAAGGAGCTGTGAACGTCTGTTGGCATCAACTCAGGGATGCCGCGCAGTCCTTGGGCAGCAGATTGATTCCTTGACTTCCTCCTGGTGGTCATGTGACCGCAAGGGTTTACCCCAGACTTAGCAGTAGCGGGGCAAACTCGAATGGAAAAAAAAACACGAGTGTTCAACCTCTGGAACAACTCATGACCAGCGGGACACGGCCCCCCATGTGATTTTCAGTCATTCAAACAGAGGACAGCCGCACGCCCATGCTCGCTGGGCGGGGCATGGCAGGAGGAAGTTATTTCTCTGGCTGTCCGCAGAAACAGTACGCAGTTAATGATAAACCGGTGTTGTTCCCCCACAAGATCAAGCCCTTTAATCAGAGCCATTATTTAAGGAAAGCTTTAATTTACAGGGACAAAAATATAGAAAGGTTATTCAAAGAAAAAAAAAAGTTTGCTTAACATCCATTACTGTCTGTCTAGCAGTACAGTATTTGGTTTGTGGGAAATTTATAGAATAACTTGAAAGGTAAGCCTTTTCTTTTAATCACTCAGTTGTACTTTTCAAATATAGAGTGGAAACCCCGGCAGCCCATTTGGTCACTGGACTTTGCTTATCATCTCATGGTATGTTAACAATCCACGGGCGCAACACACATATTAAATTCAGCTTTGGGGGTTGGGGGAGGGGGCTTGGATCGGATTTATCTGGGAGGAAATTTCAAGGTATTGCTTGATGGGCATTTGTGCTATGCCTCACAGCTGATCATCTAAAATCGATTCGTGATGGAATAAATCCTCAGATGAGTTGGTTGGTTTCATTACACTTTACACCAATGTTATGCTTTGGAAAACATCATCACTATGTAATCGAGTGTACGCCACAGCACAATATTTGGTAGTGCAAAACAACAGGCAACCACTGAATATGTGCAGCTGTCAAAGGTCAAAATGTTGCAACTTACTGTTTTGCCATGCCAGTTCTGCATGGGAAATGATAACATATTTGACCCAATACTCAACAATGATCTATGTTAACAGTAATAAGAATTTATTTTAAGACAATTACCATGCAACCCTCTCAGGATGTCAATGCTATTCACACATACAGTAGCTAGGGAGTTGTGTTAGGATACATAACAAAATGCATCTTATCTTTCTTGTGGGAGGTTCTCAGTGGTTGAAGTCATCTAAAAATATAAGGTCTGTTGAAGATATGTCAACACCGAAGGGTGTTTTGCCCCGTCTAGTGATTCCGAGTTTGTGTACTTTCAAAAGACAACAGGTGCAGCAAGTTATATCTGTCTTCAACCCTTCACTTGTGGACCACAATCCAAGGCTGGAGAGCATTTTGTGACATATGGAATCAGGGGACAGGCTTCAACTGGAAAAGATTCGTCATAGAATTGGATCCTGTTTCCCCCACGGGCTGATTCCAGCTCATGTTAAAACCAGCAGATGGTATTTGAAGCCGTATGGTTGTGGAAAAGAGGAGAAAAAAGGATTTTGTTTTTTTTCTGAAACACCAATCTGATAGTGTTGTTGGTGACATTTTAACATATTCTCTTATTTAAGTGTGTGCCTGAAAAATGCATCATTTAAAGGATATTTCCATTTGAAGCTTTTCACACTAAAATTTAGTTTAGGTGGCAATTTGCCTAAGACAAAAAAAGGCATCTTCTACACAAAATCTGTTATTGTCATTAAATATGACTACAACTATTTTTTATTTATATCCAACCA